GAAACTTCAAGTGTCTGCTAAGGGTTGTATAGCTACTTATTCTCATTGGCTTGTGGGACTCATAACTCCACACCCTCCAACATTTCTCCAATAAAAATGATCATGCTCCATTCACTTTCATATAGGCCTCAGTTGCTTCTATGTTTCTAAAACTGTAAAATGGAAATTTCTAATCAAGCTGGAAACTAATGCAGAGCATGTGTTACTTCGTTCTTTCTATCTCTTCTGTCCACAATGATGATAAAACCTCTAATCTCTCTCCAGCTTCTGTTCAGTTGAATCACTTCCAAACTTACCAGTTGATAAAATCTGCCTTTGATGGGGCACAAAAATAAAATGGGGGCTCACCCAGACTTCTGTTTGCCCCATCTCCTTTCCCTTTCGGTTTAGCACTGAATCAGAATAAACAGCAATTGAGTTTTCTGTAGACAAAGGCAAAACCACTTGGACATCTGCTTAGAGTGGCTGGGGAAACCCAGCCAGATGGGCAGGGTATACATATTTTTATTATTATTATTAAGCATGGGACAAGCAGAAAACTTTCTAGAAACAAGACAGGGTGTAATGGTTCTAGGGGTTGCTCGTGCGTAAGCCGGTGCAAACACCTGGCTGGATTGCCTGAGTGAACCTTTTCTGTCCGGACAGCCACTCACCCGTGGCTGTCTCAATCGCTGGCAGAATCCGTCAGTGGGCGTTTCTTCAACTTCTTCCAGCAAAGAAGCTCTTTGACGCCTAGTCTCCTCCTACTCTCTCTGCGCGGAAGCCTTCTGCGCAAGGAGGGCGTAGGCAGCAGAGGACCTCTACTCTCCCCGCTGGTCCCCGGCAAAGAGTCATGGGACCGCCTCGCCGCTTCCCCCATCTGCCCCCCTTCTCCACTGGTGCTACGCTGATTCTCTTCCCCAGAAGATGGGCTGCCTCTCCCAATCCCGGGACGCTCTCCAGAATCCCTCTGGATTTTGCTCTCTGATGGCAGTTCCCTGACACAGGGGGAGGAGGGATGAGCCCTAAATTGAGGAAACTGGTTTTTATTTGTCATGAGGCTCTTCCAGACGACGTTCTTATGCAGCATTCATCCTGATTGCTTGTGCAAAATGGATGTAACCTTGCACCTGGTCTTTCCTGAGCATCCATTCTGATTTGTTCAGTGATGAGCCTTCGTCCTGCTTTCCCCTCACATTTTTTCAATGCATTTCCTCTTCACTTTCTTAAGTGCAAGTGGATGGGAGGGTGCCCTGGGACAACAGAGCCTTTTAATCCACTTCAGATGGGCTTTGCTTTCCACACGGGCACTTGAATCTCTCCCACGAGAGACTGACAGTCCGGATGCACCCATAAGTAGTCTGATGAGGTGTTACACAAATTGTGAAATAAAACATGTGGGCGAGGAGAGCAAACATGCCAGCTCCACCAGCCCCTCCTTCATCCTCATCTGCCCTCTGAAAATTGGTGAGTGGAAATTGTGGAGGCTTCTTGCATGATACACAGAACCCTAGAAAATTGGGGTTCTGCATCACATGGGGACCCAACTTAAATAGAAGCAAGCTCCCTGCTTCAGACAGTCACCCTACGGCTTGCAGAATTTGACTAGGTTGTTACAGTGGTACCTCGGGTTAAGTACTTAATTCGTTCCGGAGGTCCGTACTTAACCTGAAACTGTTCTTAACCTGAAGCACCACTTTAGCTAATGGGGCCTCCTGCTGCCGCCGCCCTGCCGGAGCACGATTTCTGTTCTCATCCTGAAGCAAAGTTCTTAACCTGAAGCACTATTTCTGGGTTAGCGGAGTCTGTAACCTGAAGCATATGTAACCCGAGGTACCACTGTATTAGTATTTCTTAACATAGCAGCCCTGTTAGCTCAGTTGGTAGAGCACAAGGCTCTTCATCTCAGGGTTGTGGATTCCAGCCCCACATTGGACAAAAGATTCCTGCATTGCAGGTGATTGGACCAGATGACTCTTGTGGTCTCTACCAATTCTATAATTATAATTATTTATCTATCTTTTGCCTTCCACACATGTCCCATGGTGATGTAGGTTGGGTGGTGGAGCTAGAGCACTCATCCTGTTGTTAGCCGCTCTGAGCCCAGCTTCGGCTGGGGAGGGTGGGATATAAATAAATTTATTATTATTATTATCTCCTGCTGCCCGTGTGTCCTGAACCAGAAGCCCAACAAGGGCCTGTGTGAGTGGTTTGATGCAGGGATATCAAAGAAGGATGTCAAAAACACCGAAATGGCCGGTTCTAGTACTTGGGTGTAAGCCCTGCTGCCTTTATGAACTTGGGTTGCATGCCAAAACAGCAGGAAGTCATCATGATTTGTCCGTAAAGTGGTAATATTACTTATACACAAAGCAAGCTATGTAAGGAGCCAGTGTGGTGTAGTGGTTAGAGCGGTGGACTCGTGATCTGGGGAACCGGGTTCGCGTCTCCGCTCCTCCACATGCAGCTGCTGGGTGACCTTGGGCCAGTCACACTTCTCTGAAGTCTCTCAGCCCCACTCACCTCACAGAGTGTTTGTTGTGGGGGAGGAAGGGAAAGGAGAATGTGAGCCGCTTTGAGACTCCTGAAGGGGAGTGATAAAGCGGGATATCAAATCCAAACTCTTCTTCTTCTTCTTCTTCTAAACTGGCACCAGTTGACTCACCCCTGGCTTAGAGCTGCCCTTTCCAAGTCTGATCCATCTCTCAGATAAGGGAGTACCTGACAGGCGGCCAGCATGAAAATCATCTCCTCTCCCAACTTGCTGAACCAAAACTATGGCTTCAAAGCTTCAAAGCAGATAAACATATGTGAACTCACTCTTGCAGCAAATGATAGTTATTCCTGGGGTTTACAGGTTTTCTGGAACATTTTCACTGTTTGGTTCTACAAACCCTGCCCCTGTGTTTTATTTACCAATTTGAATAACTTCTGAATAGGACTGGTGAGTGCCAAGGGTATCTTTTGGGGAAGGGGGAAAAAAAGTCTGGAAAGAGCAGAATTTAGAGGTGCTGAAGATTCCCTGAAGGAGATAATCCTCATTTAGCCACAACAGTTAAATGCATCGTACTGGAAATGTCCTTAGTTCATGATGTTTCACAGATGCTAGGTGCAATGCAGATGTTTTCTTTCATTTTTGAAATACTGGCAAATTCTCTTTTAAGTAGAAAACATGAAACACCTGGTTTGCTATCTATTCTTAGACTCTCAAAATGGCACTGTGTAATTTCCATTCTTTCCTGATACAGTATGTTTCTTTTTTTGTTTTTTTTAAAGAATATTTATTCCAATTTTAAGATTACAGAAAAAGAAAAAAGTAAAAAAAGAAAAACAAATCACATACATCCTACAAATCACATACATCCTACAAGAAAAACACACAATACAAAGAAAAATACACAAGACAAAAAATCACAATAAAAGGGTAACAAAAAAAAATCAAATTAAACCATTAGAACCGTTTTCCCATTTACTTATTTCCGTGACTTCCTCTCACTTCTCTGCTTTGTATTCTAATTCAAATCGTATCTCCAGCAAATCCTTCTAACCTTCTTTTCATTTACTTATTTTAACATTCGAAAATATTTAATTCTCCTCTATCTTTTATTTTACACTTCATATTTACTTATTCCATTATACTCTGTCTGCCAATACGGTCTAATATTCTTCTCCAACCTTTTCTAACATTCTTTTATATTACAGTATTTCTGAAGATATGTTTTAAATTTTTTCCAATCTTCTTCCATCGACCCTTCTTCTTGATCTCGAATTCTGCCGGTCATCTCAGCCAGTTCCATATAGTCTATCACTTTTCTCTGCCATTCTTCTCGGGTAGGCAATTCTTGTGTCTTCCAGTATTTCCCAATGAGTATTCTTGCTGCTGCTGTCGCATACATAAAGAAATTCCTGTCTTCCCTTCGCACCAATTGACCGACCATGCCCAAGAGGAAGGCCTCTGGTTTCTTCAAGAAAGTATATTTCAATACCTTTTTAGTTCATTATATATCATTTCCCAGAAGGCCTTGATCTTTGGGCACGTCCACCAAAGGTGAAAAAAAAAGTACCTTCATTTTCTTTACATTTCCAACATTTATTATCAGGCAAATGATAAATTTTTGCTAGCTTGACTGGGGTTAAGTACCACCTGTAAATCATTTTCATTATATTTTCTCTTAAGGCGTTACAGGCCGTAAATTTCATACCTGTGGTCCATAACCGTTCCCAGTCAGCAAACATAATATTATGCCCAACATCTTGCGCCCATTTAATCATAGCAGATTTGACCATTTCATCCTGTGTATTCCATTTCAACAGCAGATTATACATTCTTGACAGATTTTTAGTTTTAGGTTCTAACAATTCCGTTTCCAGTTTAGATTTTTCCTCCTGGAAACCAATCTTTTTATCTAAATTAAAAACCTCCCTTATTTGATAATAATGCAGCCAATCTCGAACTTTAGTTTTTAATTTGTCAAAGCTCTGCAATTTTAATTTATCTCCAACTTGTTCTAAAATTTCACAATATTTTGGCCAGTTTGTCTCCATATTTGTTTTTTCAAAGCCTTAGCCTCCATTGGTGACAGCCACCTTGGTGTTTTACTTTCCAACAAATCCTTATATCTCATCCAAACATTAAATAATGCTCTCCTGACAATGTGATTCTTGAAGGCCTTATGCGCTTTGACATTGTCATACCATAAATATGCATGCCACCCAAACACATTATCGAAACCTTCTAAATCTAAAATGTCCACATTTTCAAGAAGTAGCCAATCTTTCAGCCAACAAAAGGCGGCTGATTCATAGTAAAGTTTAAGATCTGGCAGGGCAAATCCCCCTCTTTCCTTTGCGTCTGTTAGTATCTTAAATTTTATTCTAGGCTTTTGCCCTGCCAGATAAATTTGGAAATATCTCTTTGCCACCTCTTGAAACAGTCCATTTTATCCACAATTTGTAATGTTTGGAACAAAAACAACATTCTAGGCAATACATTCATCTTTATCGCTGCAATTCGGCCCAACAATGATAACTTCAATTTTGACCATATTTCTAAATCCTTCTTCACCTCTGACCAACATTTTTCATAATTATCTTTAAACAGATTCACATTTTTGGCAGTCATATTTACCCCTAGATATTTCACTTTATTAACAATTGTTAATCCTGTCTCTTTCTGAAACCTCTCCTTCTCTATCTCTGTAAGATTTTCTCTAATACCTTGGTTTTCATCTTGTTTAATTTAAAACCTGCTACTTGACCAAATTCTTGGATTGATTGTAACACTCTTTTTGTACTAGCTTCTGGCTCCTGTAATGTCAAAACTAAGTCATCGGCAAAAGCTTTCAATTTGTACTGTTTAGCTCCGAGTTGTATACCTTTAACCAATTGGTCTTTTCTAATCATATTGAGCAGAACCTCGAGGACCGATATAAAAAGCAATGGGGAGATTGGGCAACCCTGTCTTGTTCCTTTCTCTATCTTAAATTCTTCTGTAACTACATTGTTCACAATAAGCTTAGCTTTTTGTTCCGAATAAATTGCACTTATACCATTTTCGAAACTTTGACCTACCCCCATCCCTTGCAAATTTTTCTTCATAAAGCTCCAAGAAATATTGTCAAACGCTTTCTCTGCATCTACAAATATTAAGACAGCTTTAGTATTGATATTAACTTGCAATTTTTCCAAAATATCAATGATGTTCCTAGTATTGTCTGACAAATGTCTCCCAGGGAGAAAGCCCGCCTGGTCTTTATGAATCTCTTTTACCAATACATTTTTAATCTTTTAGCCATAATTTCGGCAAAAATTTTGTAATCCACATTTAATAGGGATATGGGACGGTAGTTCTTCAACTGTGTCCTCTCCCCTTCGATTTTTGGTATAAGTGTAATGTATGCTTCTTTCCACGACTCGGGTGCTTTTCCTCCCCGTAGTATTTCATTACAAAGTTCTTTCAACGGTTGCAGTAACCATTCTTTCAAAGTTTTGTAGTACGCCTGGTTTGCTATCTATTCTTAGACTCTCAAAATGGCACTGTGTAATTTCCATTCTTTCCTGATACAGTATGTTTGGACCATCATGAAATTAGCATGGAACCTGAACCTCTATCAAAACAGCACCCTGGTGGATAAAGCAAACACATGACATTATTACTGAAAGTATTATAGAGGGCCTTGCAACAATTTAGTACAAATTTTCAGATAATGCAGCCCAAAGCAATCTGGTTATTATGGAATGTCATTCCCTCTGTCCTCACTTTTATGCGTTCCTTTGTTGCTCTTGAAATGAAGGCATGTGAACATGAGCCATGTTTGCGAGTGAAAATAGTGCAAAATTGCAGGAATTACAGAATAAGGTGAAGTCTCCAGCTTTGCTCCTCTGCTGTCACTGGGAATAGCTAAAGGTAAAGGGGACAACTCTGGGCTTACAGCGCTCATCTCGCTTTATTGGCCGAGGGAGCCAGCATACAGCTTCCAGGTCATGTGGCCAGCATGACTAAGCCACTTCTGGCGAACCAGAGCAGCACACGGAAACGCCGTTTACCTTCCCGCCGGAGTGGTACCTATTTATCTACTTGCACTTTGACGTGCTTTCGAACTGCTAGGTTGGCAGGAGCAGGGACCGAACAATGGGCGCTCACCCCGTCACGGGGATTCGAACTGCCGACCTTCTGATCGGCAAGTCCTAGGCTCTGTGGTTTAACCCGCGTCCCTGTCATTGGGAATAGGGAAGAGTTAAACAGATTCAACCAGGTTCAGCTATCGTTTGCTGCAACAAAGCCACTTGCCATTATGCACATTTGGCCACGTATCATGGGGAACTAATCCGACACTTGACTAGGATTTCAGATATAGTTATGAAGGGGAGAACAAACAAACAAACTTGGCAATTGTCAGGGATGATGAGGAACCTGTGGCCTACAATTCCCATCATTG